TCCTCATTTAGATTTTTGCCTCCAAACCACCGGAAAACCATTTTCCTTACATGTTGTGTTCTCACCGGAGGTAAAAACTAATTACCTAACATTTTTTTTCTGTTAGATTTTGGAGATTTCTCATTCGAAATGCGCCAATATGTTGATATATGTTATGTTTACTGAAGATTGTAGGCTTAACATGAAGATCGGAGTTTCTAAAATCTGTTTATGATTTTCGGTTTACTTTTGTGTTAGGGGGGTTTTTTTTGTGTTTAATTAGAGACATGGCCGCCTTTTTACATTTTCCTCAGTGATGAGAAGTGTCGATTAACTATGGGTTTTATTGAGCATATGTTAAGCTATACTCTATATGTTTCGTGTTGATAGATTTTATTGCACTGGTCATTGGATTTTTGAGGTGTGTTGCAAGCTATTTAAACTTGGATTTGGAGATGAAGCTCAGGTAGAGGTTGAAAATGTGAAAGCATTTTGTCATAAGTTACTCAAAGAATACAAGAGACCAAGTCATTCGACAGAAAATACATCTCACTCTTCATTATCTTCACAATCAAAGTCGTCTACTACTGTTGAAAAGTATTCTTGCATGGCTGGTTTTGATAAATTGTTAGCCATTCTGCTACTGCTGATCATGTAAAAATAGAGTTTGATGTTTTTCTAAATGAACCGTATTGCCAGGGCGGATGATTTTGATTTATTGACATGGTGAAAAGCAAGTTCAATAAAATATCCAACTTTACAGAAGGTTGATAGAGATTTATTAGCCATTCCAGTATCTACTGTGGTATCTGAGTCGGTGTTTAGTACAAGTGGTAGATTTGTGAGTCCACATAGAAATAGGCTTCACCCGAAGACTCTAGAAGCTTTAATGTGTTCTCGGGATTGGCTTCGAACTGATATTCATGGTAGGATTTATTGTTTTATATTTATTATTCATGCACTTTCTTTTATTGCTAATTTTTTCTCTATTGTGTGTAAAAAATTCTGCTCCTTCATCATACTCTTGAACTTGTACAAGGTTTAATGAAGAGCATTGTTGAAGATGTACTTTTTTTGTTTAAATTTTCAGTTAAGATCATTCTTGATTAGGTAGTATAATTATATTATTACTCTAATTATATTTCTTATTTATCATGTAGGAATCAACTTTGAGCATTGACTCTTGACCACGCTAGTAAGAGTTGTAGGGAAGAATGAAGATTGACCTATGCTAGTAAGAGTCTTGACCTATGTTGATAACGTTGTTTGTTAAATTCGAATTTTGCATTTGAAAGTTAAAATATTGTTTGCATTTTCATTTGTGATATTGTTTGTTAAATTGGCTTAGTATTGTTTTTTGATTTTATTGACTTTTCTTCATAAATTTTTTTTATGATAGTATTGTTAAATTGTTTGCTAAACAGTAGAATTATTCTTATATTCTACCACTATTTAGCGTAGTTAAAAAAAAAAAATTCATGTTTAGTAGATTTTTATAATAGTTGATGAAATACATGGTTAAAAAATTCTGAATTTCATAAAACGAGTGGTTAAAATTAATTATTAACCCTCACTTAAATTTTTATCAAAATTTTAATCAACACTTGGACTTGTTATATCCTAGTGTTTTGACATTGCATGCATGTGTTTTTCTGCACTATCTTTATTGAATTCAACAAGCCACTTTTTTCACCCTTTTCAGACCTACATACATGGGTTCATAATGAATGTGTTCCTTGTCCCAACATTGACCCACGAAACTGAGTCCATTGCCCACTTGGCATGTGCAATTTTTTACTTTAGCTCCATCATAATCATCCAAGGAGTTCTTGGATAAATAAATCTCTCTCAAATCTTGAAAGAATCAGAATTAGAATCCCTTGATTGGTGGAATTAAACTATTTACTATTTTCCTTGAATGAATTAAGATTAAATTTTTTTATCGACCTATAATAAGATGGGAGATATCAATTTTGGTGCATATATAGTCATATTTAGTATACACTATCGGACGATAAAATATTAATAAAAAATACCGTCAAAATAAAATAACGTATATACGCATAAATAATTTGTTGGTAACTAATGAGCTCGTGATTGTTCTGTGGTGACTCATTTCCTCGTCTATTAAAGATTCGAATTTCATGTGCCTCCATAACAACACGAAATTCAATTCAGATGAAAGAACTAATAAAACATCCGTACATTCTCAAATTACCGTGCAAGATTAAAGATTTTTAACTTCGACGCTAACGACATATCGAATGTAGTGAAATTGACCATCTCGCGAGTATGTAACACACAAAAATGTCTGATATGTCCATGTGCACCAATTTTGTGAAATTATGGTGTCCCTAAGTACACGTTAGCTTGTCCTAATTGGAGGAAGATACCTTTCGAAAATCTAATGAATTGCAAATTTCGAATTGACTAAATTAAATGAACCGACCAAATGATCCACAACACAATATTTTTCAAACCAACATCGTCGCGTTTTGATTTTTCAACATATGTAAAATACAATGTCCACGTCCAAGCTCATGATTGTTCAAACGAACGCAACATGAGTAACGTTAAGGTGCATTCTAGAATTGAGCAAAAAGTAAAGTTAGATGCACAGAGAAATGTAGCACTATAATTTGATGAAAATGATGATTAATAGGAATTTGTACTAGAATACTTAATTTGAATATTTGTCACTCATTAATGAATGGTTAGCAATATTTAAAAGAAAATTAGCAGGTGTAATCACATGGAGTCCCAAATGGCCTACACCTAGGACTACCCTCCAAACAAGTCTATCCCCACCCCCCGCCGACTGTTGTCCCCTTTCTTGTAACATCGCCGCCCATCACTCAGATTACTATAGATTTGGAATCCGTAGTACCCCAGCCAATTGAATTTGGACTATCCTATGGAGTTTACATGGGTAAGCATTTGACTTTAGGTAATTGATTAGCACTAGTTCAAGACTTGTGATTTCCATAGTGTGTATATCACTATTTATGCAAGGCAATAGTAGAGTCTATGATCATCGCAAGAGACTGGGTTCGTCATTCATTTTTTTGGTTATTAGTGAGCCGAGGATTAGTAGGGGGTTCCTGCCGACCTGGTTGGATTAATGGGGAATCCACGAGTCTGGTTGTGCCATCACACATTGTTCTCAGTTGATAAGGATGGGTCAATTGTGAGTAATTGTCCTAGCAATCCCTTCAGTATATCTGACAATGAGATGATCCTGCGAAGGCATGTTCAGTGGTGATTCCACGTGGCATTAATGTGGTCTCATGTGGGGTTTGTGCGTAAAATAATTATCAAAGAAAACTGATTGATTTTTACATAATAGGCTAAATGGAGGAATCTTGATTGAAGCAAAGTCCTTGATCTCGATGATTGCCATCAAAATTCTAATTCTAAAAATATAATTGGAAAGCATGGACAGAAATGAATCAACTTTGGACGTTTCTTCATTGCTTTGATAACACTACATCAATAAACAATTATTTTTATTACTATATATCACATCGAAATCCAAATAATGTGAATGAGTTATCTAGTAATCACATTACAACGAAAGTAAGCATGAGTGATTGAATTCACATGATCAACACGACTTTAACCATTAATATTCATCACCCGTCTATATGGCATCGACTTATCTGCCGTCTAATCAGATCTCGAACACCCGTAATGATAAATAACACTCGTCATCCTTAAAATGTCACCACAACCCTTGCCGTCCTCCGCCCCACCACCCACAAAGCAACAGAGAAAAGGCTGTGTGTGGATGGAGCCCATGTGTAAAAAGGAACACGTGTTCCAAACAGAGAAGGGAGGAGGAGGATGAAAGCACATGGGAGGTGGTAGGTTCAAGAAATCCATGTGATCACATGTGCTGTCTTTGTTTTTTTGACAGTGGGACCCTTATTACAACCTGCGACCCTATCCGGTTTTCCCTCCACTCGATCGACAAATCTCCGTTCCGTTTCCACTCTCATTTGCCCACACGTGTAACCAACGCTCTTTGCTCATGGCTAAAGAATTTAAAATTTTTTTTTTAAAAAAAAAACCTATTTTCATAATAATTAGTTTTTGATAAGATTAAGAAAACATCACATGACCCAATAGGCTTTTGGCGTCGATTAGGCAACAAAATATATTTATAATTTTGTGACGATGTTAAATTTTCACGACTAGCTTGTACTTCCGTCATATTGGCTAATTTTACATTTCGATGATAAGTGCATTTTTATAATTTTACAAAAAATCCTTGTGTGATTTTTTCAGCGTTAGTTCTATTCATAGACTTTGTACTTTGATTCAATATTCAATTGAGTTGCTATACTTTAATTTTGTGCCTATATTCAAATTATCTAATGCTAGATACAATTTTGCCGTTAAAAACTAACGATCATTGTAAACGTTTTTAATTATGCTTATATTTGGTGGAGATTATAATAAATTTTTTAGCATATTTTGATAAAAGTTGATGAAATGCGTGATTAAAAAATTGTAAATTCCATGAAAAATATAATTAAAATTAATTATTGAATTTGACTTAATTGAAATTAAGATTTTAATCCTCATCAAGTGCTAATTAAATGATAAATTAAGCTCCCATTTGACCCCTGTTATTTGAGATTATAATTTTTAGAATAATATTTTTTTTAAAAATGTGTGGTTAAAAAAGAAGATTTTTTTTAAAATTTAGTGTAATATTATTTTATTAAAAAATATGTGAATAATAAGAATAGAGAAAAATAAATTATAATTTTAAAGGGACAAACAAACATGGCATAATCACGTTTATGTGATCCCCACATAAATCCGTAATCAAGGCGTTGGGAAACCAAATCCCCAAACTAGGTGGGCCCAGCTGTGTTGGGCATTGACATTTATACGATACAATTTCATTAATTTAACACCTCGCTAACACTTGCACCTCTCTTCCATTCATCGTCACCTACCCTTTAGCCGCCGCTTCCGCCACCGCCACCAGCACCGCCACCGCCACCTCCTCCATGGAAAGTTCTAACAGTAGCAATTGTGCAGCAGAACTAGAAACCATAGCCACATTATCAAGAAAAGAACTGACAGTTCCCGAAATGGGTCAAGAATCTAACAAAGCAACCATTCGCCTCGTTCGGCACCCGGAGAGCCACAGAAGAAGCATAAAAACCAGAACCCATGTGAAAAACATCTGCGGCGGAGGCGACGGAAGTAGTGGTGGCGGAGAAGACTCCGATGAGAAAGCTGAGGTTGAGGAAAAGATAGTGGCATTGCAGAAAATAGTCCCGGGAGGCGGGTCTCTTTGTGCAGAAAAACTTTTTGAAGAAACTGCTGAATACATATTGACATTGCAATGCCAAATTAAAGTCTTGAGATTTCTTGCTTCTTTTGTTGAAGTTCCTGAGATAGAGAAGAGAAAGCTCGGTGGTTAGCAAAGGTATTAGCCGCATCTCAAAAACGTCCTATCGAAATATATGACTTTCAAATTAAGTTCCGAATTAGTCGATCTTGTCGAACAGAGTGACCATGCCATAGGCAAAAAGGAGGACACTCATGAAATGGCTCTTGATGTTTTCAAGTTCATTTCTTTTTCCATCTTTAATTTTTGTTTTTGGGTTTTTAATAAGGACCATTTTTTTTCCTTTGTTGATGGGGGTTTTATGGTAAAGATTTAGCCTTTTTTTGATAATTTTTTTTTTTTTGTTAAAGTAAGTGTTTAATTTCAATATTTCCCAGAAGAGGATAGAATGTGATTAGTTGCTTAGTTCATGATAATGGAGTAATGGTAGTAACGCTTTGAAGAAAATGAACTTTTTCTTTGATGCATCTAGCTATTTTTTGTTATGGAAAATTAATTTCAATAACTCATTTTGTTCATAATTTGGATGAATTTAATGAGAAATTCTAGGTTGTTATATAATGTGATAATATATTGAGATATTCCAAAGTGACACAAAAATCTTGTGACATCAATTGACAATATCCTCTGGAGTTTTTTTTACCACTAGTACAATGTATGGAATTATTGTCACTGTTAATAACAAAACTTCAATATATTTGGTAAAAGTGTTTGTTTTAGTATCATGATACTTCAATACTAATCAATTTTCTTCATTTGATGTGCATGGGAAATAAGCAATAAAGGTCAAAATGTTATAGTCTTCAAAAATTAAGCTAAATGAACATAATAATTGACACAGGGGTTGATCGACCCCTCACATTGCATATGGGTTCCGACCTGAATTAAATAATGTCTACATTTCCATGTGTGTGTGTAGTGTCATCCACTATATCAAGCATTATGTTTGTGTAGCAAAACTCAATCTTCAATATCATGAAGGTAGTGACATTGTCAAGACTATTTCGAAATAGGAAAAAGTAGTATCTCGCACATATTTATGTGTCGTATACTCATTTCAGTAAGAATAATACTATTCATCATCATTAGTACTAAGAATCAATTTAGATGGCAATTATATGTTATTAAATGATATATTCATTTAAATATAAAATTACGTAACTCATTTAATTAAACATATAAAATACAATCACATAAAATGATTATCTAACACCACTGATACTAAATATCATTATTAATACTAACAATAAACTAGAGAGTAAGAACTACAAATATTTGAGCCAATTCTTAAGTCACGTTTTAAACTCAGTAGTGGGCTTGACAGCCTTTCGGTGGGATAAATCAAAGAGGCTTGACAAGGGTCACATGTTCTACTTTTCAATTTGGGGTTAAGCTCGACCTACAAGAAAAAAAGAAAGAAGTTTACACTTTACTATTCAAACACTTTTCCACGATCAACTTCTATATAATAATTTTTCACTTGAATAACGTCAAGTATCGTGTATTTGTTTATTGTACTATGAGAGAGTAGATGATAAATAAATCACGTGTTTTAATGTGTAGTTAAATAGACGAATTTTATTGTCATTCTAAAACTTATGCTCAATGTGTTTTGAAAGTATGTAATTCGATCCTAACAACACCTAGAGGGGAGGTGAATATGTGAAATTAAAAATAATTTAATAATTAACTAGCAACAAATCACTATTAATTATTTTTTTCTAGATGATTAAGTATGTAATTCAATTAATCATATGTTAAAATACCGCAATTATGTAAGCAATAAATGAACACAATAATCGATCACGGAGAAATCCAACTTGGTGGAAACTTCGGACACTTTGTCAGTTAACAATCTACTATAAACGAGTTTTAACTCACAGTTTACTATACTAGATGATGACACGTACTATCTGATCTCCTAACTGCAATTTCAATAGCTTTTCTGGATTCAGTGCTATTGCACCAACTCTCAATTATAGTTTCCAAAACTCTCCTAGATTGCGTTCTCCTGCAGCAACTTCCAACTTTGTGAAATCGTCTATCTCCTGTGAATTCAAGAAGAACACTGCGTTCTTCAACGACTGGAACTCCAGTCACATTCCCTTAATCTTCAAAAACTCTGACAGATATGTAGGAGCAGCGGTTTGGTATTTGGATTGTGAAACTGATGTTTTTCACCGTCAACAACGGATCAATTTGATCAATAAAGGTTGAATGCTTCAGAGGATAATAAGAATATGAAAGCAGTGATTTTTCTCAATAATCAACCTTAGAAAAACGTTCAGAGGCGTTCAAGTATTTATATGTAGGTTAGTGAATGGATGAGCCGGACAAAAAACCTTTAAAAAACGAAATACGAAATTCCTTAATAATACTATCGCTCGAGCGAAGGTGAGGCGATCGTCGAGCGATGAAATTTCTGTGTCTGATACTTGAGCCAATCCTCAACGAAAAGCTAACAAAATTTCGTGCCGTTTTTCCTTCTTTCCCATTTTCGAACCCTAGACCTAAAATATCATTAACCTTCACTAATTTACACACTACTCCTTGACTTTTTACAACATATCAACTCTAGTTCTTTTTGTTCACAGAATAGTCAATTACATTAAATACCTAACATGTTTACTTATCAATCTATGAACGACTATTATTCAATGCATGGATATATTAGAAAAAAATGTAAGTAAAATTTATAGTTCCAATTATGTTAATTTAAGTTTTCTTAATCTAAGATAGAAAACAAGAAAATTAGGAATTGAAGAAGATGACTTTCGTATATAAATCAACTCAATCGAATACAAATTACAGGGATCATTTATGCTCTATTTATACACAAAGAATAATTGCCAGCTATACATAACAATAATGCAAGCAAATACACTAAGAATCAAATCCCTGAAATCTAGGATAGGTGGAGCTGCTGGGCATGAATCCATTTTGGTTGTTGTACTGTAGCATTCTTCTTCCTTTATTCACTGGTAAGGTAAAGTCGTTACTTCTTGGAATTACGTTTTCCTTCCCTTCCTGATTATTTTCCTCTTTAGTCCTTGCCTTCCTGTTTTGTCCATTTTGGTCCATAGATTTATCTTTTCCAACAACCCCCTTTAAGCTGGAGATAATTTCTATAACTCCAAGCTTGCTCCGTAGATACAAGTGTCTAGAGTTCAATAGTGGTTTGGTAGGAATGTCGCAATTTGATTGGCTATCGGAACGTAGCTGATTACAAGTTGTTTGGCCAACACTTTATCAGGAAAAAAATGCACGTCAAGTTCTATATGCTTGGTTCATACGTGATAAATAGGATTGGAAGCAAGAGCACTAGCTCCTGAATTATTGCACCAGATTTTGGGAAGCTCAGTTTAAGTGATGTTAAACTCATGTAATAGTGACTGAGTCCAAACGATTTCTGTAGTAGTGTGGGCTAAGGTCCTATATTCAGCCTCAGTGCTAGACCTTGCAACGACCTGCTGTTTTTTTAAGCACCAAGAGATTAAGTTCCCTCCAAGATACACGCAATATCCTACAGTGGATATCCTGTCATCTAGGCATGAAGCCCAGTCCGCATCACCATAGGCAACTATGTTGAAGTCTTATGTTTCCTGGATTATCAGTCCTAACTCGAGTGTTCCTTTGATGTACCTGAACAGTCGTTTTAACAGATTCCAGTGTGCATCAGTAGGGCATTGAAGATATTGGCTAATTTTATTCACTGCAAATGTGATGTCTGGCCTAGTATGTGTGAGATACCGGAGAGCCCTGATAGCACTTCTGAAGACAGTTGGGTTTTCGAGGCTTTGTCCATCAGTATTGGTAATTAGTTTTCCTGCTGCCATTGGTGTAACACTGGGTTTTAAGTTCTCAAAATCAAACCTTTTTAAGGTATCAGTAGCATATCTTTTTTGTGACGTATGTAAGCCAATCTAATCTCTGTAGAATTCAATGCCCAAAAATTTCTTCAGAGTCCCCATGTCTTTTAGTGCAAAGGTGGTATTCAGTCTTTCAATTAACTTCTGTACCCTTACACTACAACTCCTCGTCACTATGATATCGTCAACATGGACTAGTAGATAGATTACAGATTCCTGGGTTACTTGATGGAAGATAGAGTTAACAGCCTTTGATTGCATAAGTTCCCAATTCAGCAGTGTTTCCTTCAGTATATTATGTCATGCTCTAGGGGCTTGCTTAAGCCCATAGAGGGCCTTGCTGAGTTTGCATACAAAAGAAGGTTTATCTTGATCAATAAAACCTTGAGATTGTTCATAAAAACCATTTCTTCTAATTTCCCATTGAGAAATGCATTATTTATGTCAACTTGCCTTATTTCCATCCTTTTGAAATAGCGAGTGTTAGAATAATCTTTAGTGTAGGTGCCTTAGCTACTGGACTGAAAGTCTCGTAATAAGCAATGCCTGTTGTCTGCAAGAAACCTTTTGCCACTAGTCTGGCTTTATGCCTCAGAATCTCCCCATCTGCACCGTGCTTCAACTTATAAACCCACTTACAGCCTATTATTTTCATCTTAGGATTTGCAAGGACCAACTCCCATATATTATTTCTGATCAACGCTTCATACTCTTCCTTCATAGTTTAGCACCGTTTTTCACTTCTTAGGGCCTCATGTACACTGACAGGTTCCACTTCGTCACTTGAACTCATAATAATCTCAGCATAGAGCTTTGGTTTAGAAATTCCTGATTTAGATCTGTTTACCATAGGGTGTTCTGTTATCAATTCCTTTTTTGATGTAGAAGATCCATCTCTTGTTTCACTATCATGTTCTGAAGACTCAGGCTGAGAATCAACTAATATATCATTTTGATCAGTTTCTTGTATCTGCTGATTACCAGATGCTTCATCATTTTCTGTCACACTCTCATCCTCATTTCCAGCAAGGTGATCTTGTGCAGGTTCTTCTATAGAGTGGATTATTTCAGCTGATTCTGAGACGTTTATATGAGGATTTAACTCAGGTAAATCTGTGGGAAGTTTATAAGAACTGATTTGATAAGGCAGATAATGAAAGCCAGTAGGAGAGGATCTGTCTGAGGGTTTTTTGTTGAGAAATCC